GGCCAAGTACAGGGATATCCTGGACGAAAACCTTCTCCAGAGTGCTCAGGACCTCAGACTGGGCCGAAGGTTCACCTTCCCACAAGACAATGACCCTAAGCACACAGCTAAAATAATGAAGGAGTGGCTTTACAACAACTCTGTGACTGTTCTTGAATGGTCCCGCCAGAGCCCTGACTTAAACCCCATTGAGCATCTCTGGAGAGACCTGAAAATGGCTGTCCACCAACGTTTACCATCCAACCTGACAGCACTGGAGAGGATCTGCAAGGAGGAATGGCAGAGGATCCCCAAATGCAGGTGTGAACTTGTTGCATCATTCCCAAAAAGACTCATGGCTGTATCAGCTCAAAAGGTGCTTCTACTAAATACTGAGCAAAGGGTCTGAATACTTATGACCATGTGATATTTCAGTTTTTCTTTTTTAATAAATCTGCAAAAATGTCAAAAATTCTGTGTTTTTCTGTCAATATGGGGTGCTGTGTGTACATTAATGAGGAAAAAAATGAACTTAAATGATTTTAGCATATGGCTGCAATATAACAAAGAGTGAAAAATTTAAGGGGGTCTGAATAATTTCCGTACCCACTGTATGTGTGTAAATGAACTGCATCAGTTGTCTGCCCGATATGAAGTAGCACTGATCAGTGTTATCAGTTGCACCTGTACCGATCACACTGCTGGGCAGAAATACCTGAGCTGTAGTGTTGGGTCATTACACTGAAGAAGGCAGTTATGCTGAAATGTCTGGGTTTCTCAGCAAAAATACACTTTTTTGAGGTATCTTACATAGTGCAAAGCCTTTTTGTTATTTTTGATGAATTTTTGCTGAGCACTAACTGGCGTACAGTGAGAGCAGTCGTTTTTTGAATAAACAAAATGTTTTAGATCATAACACAAAGCTCATAAAGAACCATCAAAGCCCAGGAATGCTTGTTTGTGCTCTTGTTAAGATTAGTAAAATAACGTTTTTAATTTTTTTTTTTTTTTTTGGACAACCACACCAAATTTATGGGAAGTTCATTCTTAGGTGTAAGTGAAAAGTAAGAACACAGGTCTGATAGTGTTGAGCTGCTTCAAGAACAAGAAAGAAATTATAGCTGAAACCACACAGAGGGGAAAAAGTTATACTTCCTATAGCCTGCCCTCGGTGATTGGATGAATACTTCCCTACAAAGATTTCAGAGTTGGGCAATGCTGCCCAGTAATGTTTTAGAGGAAATGCAGATTGGATGTTAACCATTAATAAACAGGAAGTGAGGAGAGAAAACCAGAGGCCTCACAGTTTCTATCAGCACTTTCTGTGTACAAAAATATCATACATATCTAACATATAATGTTCCAGTAGCATATGAATGTAACATTGGAATCTGGAGTTTCAGTGGCAAAATTTTGTTCAACATCTCAGCACTTTTTCAGTGATTTAATTTGCAGCTTTGGTATTGACCGTCTCGTGCACAAAACGCACACACACAAAAACATGTATGAATATCCTGTAAAAATGTGCTGTTGAGGCTGACGTGGGAAACGTCTCATAAAGCAAAGAACAGGCTGTGGAACGGCCTAGTACAGCTGCCAGAAAAGGGGATGACCAAAAAGATCTTTAACTGGAACAGAGTACATAATTATTCTTTGTCAAGAGAAGCAGCTGTGATATTTTCCTCTTGTGGTTTAGATTGTATTTTTATAAACAACTTATAGTGTGATATAAATACAGTCAGACAAGAACTGCTAAGCATCTACAAAGCCCAATGGAAAGAAGACATTTGGAGTAAACCAAAACTTAGGCTTTATGTTCAAATTAATGATGATTATTCCACAGAACCATATATTACATTTATTTTACAGAGAAGGGAAAGGTCTCTCTGCGCTCAGTTAAGAGCTGGTGCCCACTGGCAGCTGAAGTAGGCAGATACAAAGGTATTAATGTGTTCTACTGTCCTGTGTGCAGTGAATTAAAGAATCATCTGTTTGAAAAAACTCAGGTTTGTTTTGGCAATCTGAACATATTATGTTGAGTTGGCGCTTTAAGGAGAAGATTTTTGTTTTGGTGACACTTATTGAAAATGCTTGGCAGCTAAGACAGAGAATACTGTTACGATCATAATGATATACTTGTCATTTAACTTTTTTGAAATGTGTGGAAATGTGTCATTAATTTGCTCATGTAGCTGTTATTAGTTGGTGATTGTTGAGTGTCTTATAAGTCCATATGGTCTGGGTCCCTTATGACGTAGGACAGGTAAATAAATTAATCAGATGGAGTCAAATCACACACACACAACCTGTACAATATATGAAATGTTGATGCACTACTATCTACAGGATTTCAGTGAAAATACAGATCATTCTTGATTTACACCATGAGATATGTACACACAGATGCAAGCACATTTAAAATACCTGAAGTCATTTGCAGTCTGTAGCTCTCACGTAGCTTATATGTCATTTTAAAATCTTCATGCAGTTGGCAGTGTAGGCTGACTGCTACATACAGACACTGGTGAAGCTCACACCCAAACACTGCAGGGAATGAGCTGATTCAAATGTGCCACACACACACACACACACACACACATAGTTTATGTTTCGTAGTCCATGGGGACTTTACATTGACTTACATGCATTTCCTGTAGACTAACCCTAACCTTAACCAGAACCACTACTTGCCTAACCCTAACCCTGACCCTAACCAACCATGTTGCCACCCTAAAATTA